TGGGTCTTACAATAATAAGACATTCCATATGGATTTACTCCTTCTCTACAAACAGGTTGTGATAACAAAGTGCTAATAGTTCAAGGCAAATGTCGCATCACTATTTCCCTTTTAATGCAGTCCTTTGCCGTAGGCTGTTTATTTCGAGATTGACTACAGGAACCATACATGCAAGAAGAGGCCCCTTGATGTGGACTTCCACCCACTTGCCATTCCACAGAATGCTTCCCTGCTGGCACAGGTAGTGCTGGGCAGCTCCTCTGGTCCGGGTCAGGGAGTCCTGGTAAACACATGGGCGGGTGAGCAGCAGACTAGGAAAGGAGAAGGTAAAGAAAATGAAAAAGCAGAAGTGAGGCAGCAACACAAATGACCAAGTCACGCAGTTTAAAGTGGCATGTGACTTTGTGTGATTGTACTTTTGATTTCATTTTTATGAACCTGCCTGTCTGGTTGTGCATGTCTGTGTCAGTTTCCTTGTGATCTGTTTCTGTGTCTTCAGCCAAATACATGAGCACCGTCACTGAGTTTGGATGCATTCCCGTGTCCACGGTCTATCACACCGACAGGTCTGGATGGGTATTGACCAGGTAAGTCCAACACATGGAGTTCATTTTTTGTCTCTAAAGATAGAAGTCAGAAGTCAGAGAATGAGATCCTGAAAACAAAAATTTGACATTACAGATGCACATTACGAATGTTAAACAGTCAACAACTGACTAGCCTGTACTTCATAGGATGACCTGACAAATATCTGGATGCCTGTTTTTAAAGGCTTTTTTTTACACAATTATTCCGACATTCAATATTGCCTCATTCCTAGGTTTTTAATGTTGCATTGTACAATGTAACATTTTATGCAAAATTTGTACCAAGGACCTTGTAACGTTATTTTATGCAAAATTTGTACCAAGGACCATGGTGTAATGCACTGGTACCCAAACTTTTGCTGCAGTGGTCCCCTTTAGTAGAACTTCCCACTTCCCACCCCCAAGTCAGCACATTCACAGCTGATGCCTCAAACTGCAAAAAAAAAGTTCCTACTAAACTCTTCTCATTAAACAGAGAAAGTTGAATTAATTTAGTGCGGTTTTCCCCACTGTTTGACAAAGAAAATATTACATATGAAATTAACTTGCTTTGCTGCAACCTCACCTACAATAGCTTTGAGGCACCAAGGGGGATCTGCCCCTCCTTTTTAGAACCAATGGTAAAATGACTCACCTTGTTGCAACTTTTAAGATGCTAGACTGCATTCACAAAACAAGACAATCATTTCCAGCTGCAGATGCAAACCAGTGTCCTTTTGATAGATGTAATACTAAATCTATGCTGTAGGGGTTTTTTGTGCCACATACTTTTATGTGGTTTCTTTACATCTTTCACCAGACAACTACATTTATGAATTTCCCTTTTATCTTCAGCTTCTTCAACAACGTCTTGGGACTGGTGGACCCTAATGCGCTTATCCCTCCGTGGTTCTGCACCACCCCGCAGCTGGAAGAAGAGGTTGATCAAGAGCCGGTGTCCTTTTTTGACTTGTTTTAAAACACAGGGTTTTTCAGAAAGTGCTCTGTGACTGTGATGGCATGACATTGTATTTAAACAAATACAAATTTTAAGCAAATGGTAATGGTAATTTGGTCTTTTTATAATCAACTAAAACATTGAGTAAAACACTTGTGTTGAAAAGTAATAGGAAACATTAATCCAAAAGACTACAACCACTGACTGACCCTAATAATATAACAGGAATAATGTCTCAAACTACTGCCTGGAGCTCAAGTTGACAGATAACATTGTCTTCTTAAATTTTTAAACTTTTTAAATGCAAAAACTTCACAGTTAGCCTCAGGTAACCAATAAGCACTAAAAAAAAAAATGTATTTCCAATTACACTTGGTTCACATACCTTGGACAACTGCCTTTTCTCAGAAGAAATTGCAGAGGTGTGTAATACAGCTTACAGTCACTGGGAGACAGGTCACTGGTTACAGGGACTGGCGAAGAACCTGGATGAGAAATGTGCATCTACTTTAATTGATGACATGATTAAAAACAAATTTTTATTAAATTATAGCCTGGTTAAAACACATGTAACAATTGTGATTTTATTTTTTAATTTTAACTAGCAGAGGCATGTTGTGATTTTATTGTTTAATTTTAACTAGCAGAGGCATGTGTTTAAAGTCTATGATATATGGTACATTTGCAAAAATACAGATGACAGACTAACTTAACTTACCAAGACTGTAGAGTTGCATGTCTGACCATACGAAATTTGTTTGGGGTTTTTTAATATTATCAAAATGTTTTGTTTTTTTTTTTTACAACATATTCTCTCTCTGGATGAACCTGCCTTAAAATATTCAGTTAATGAATTGTGCTTGTTTACAGGACGTATCTATTGATATTAGTAAGTTCTGTGAAAATACCTGAAACTCACAATTGACTATATGAAATGGCCTTTTAATCAAATCTCAAATTTACTTGTTTTTTTATTTTATTTAACGTGCTGTGACATTTTGCTGCCGGACCAAGTGTAGACCACTAGATGGCAGCAAAACACATATAATAACAAACAGGTTCAACCAATTGTGTTGACACATATTGTACATTGAAAATACAAATTGGCAGTGAAACCATTTAATAACGTATTATATATTATTTAGAAACAGTCAACAATTTTTCCGTTATTTTTTCTTTTACTCTTTGACATAAACAGACAAAACGTTATTGCTATGTTAAACAGCGAGAACTCACTTGGTAGCAAAAGTAATTTACACCCCTTAATTGCCCAACCTCCTGAAACCCAACATCTGCTGCCATCACCCCTGCCTCTGTCTCCAGCCACAGCATTCTAGCATCAGGGTCTTCATCAGAGAACTGCAACAAACATCCAGAGCCTCGCAACACCTTTATGCACTGTCTCAGCATCAGCCCAGCCTTCCCTTTCCCTTCCTTCGACCTCAGTAGGGCATCTATGGTTCCTTTGTCAATGATCAGGTCCATGCTCTGGGAATCATAGTGATCCTGAAGACATGTGCAATCCAGCTCCAAAAACTCAAGCTTTGAAGAGATGTTGTGTGGTTGAGCTTGTACGTGTTCTCGCAACAGGCGCACAGCCACGGGGGAAATGTCAGCACAAGTGACATGTACTGGATGAGGGGAGTGTCTGTAAACACAAGGACCCAGTGCTGAGGTCCCACAGCCCACATCCAGCACTTGAATCGGTACATTTTGCTGCGACTGTGTCTTCAAAAGAGGCATAATGTAGTCTCTCACAGAGTCAAAGCCGAAGAACCACTCAAAGTTTTTAAAGGTGGGTGTGCGGCTTCTGTTCTCTGTGTAGAAACGGTCCCAGATATCTTTTTTATCCATGTTCTCCATCAGCTCAGCTGGATAACATAAAAAGAAACCAAGTCAGTTATAGCTGGTTGAATGTGAAATGCTTAGGGGTTGCTTATTTTATTTCTTTTAAGGTTATGGAAATCTTTACATTCTGCCACAATATATAAATGGTCAGTCCCTACATTTGACATTCTGCATTAGAAAATGATCTACTAGATACAAATGTATCTCATGGTAAATACAACTGAGTCAGGACATAAACAGAGCAGGAAAGTTTAAAATATACTGATTTGTTGTTGCATTCCATTGGCAAATGCTAACAACTTTGTTTAGATACGTTCTAAGAATGATGGATAATTGCAAATACAAGGCGGAAGGCCAAAGAGGAGATTTATGGATGCAGTGAGGGAGGACATGCATATAGTAGTTGGAGTCAGAGTAGAAGATGCAGACAACAGGGAGAGATGGAAAACGATGATTCGCTGTGGCAACCCCTGAAAAAAGGGACAAGCCGAAGAGGACAAGAAGAGGAAAGCACAAGCCCCCTGGAGTACAGTTGTCATAAAGCGATTTATTGAAATAGCACAGTGTGAATGCCACACTACAAGAGTTCTTCTGGTTGCATATTAAAATGACTTAAATGACGATTATTTTATTTTTGTACGTGCTTTTCACGTAATTTTTATCTACTTATTCGCGTTGCTCAAAAAATTCTAATACAAGGGCAATTAATGTTATATTTCTTTTATCTATTTGGTTATTATTATTAAAATTTTATTGTGGCAAATAACTACATCTGACGTCAAGTTATAGTCAAAGGGATTTATCAAAGTTGCACGACTACAACAGCTACTGTAGACACATGTACATGTTAGCATTGTTAGCTGCTTGTCATAGTGGCTACATACAACGAAGAAAGCCAGGGTAATTTAAAAGAACAAACAAACAAAATACTGCGTTATGAACGTACACATGAGGGAGGAGTGACGTCGTATACGAGCTGCAAAAGCGAATCCTTTCCTTGATAGTGTCACTGATCTGAAGAGAGGCGACATTTTTACTCAAGGTATTTTGCCGGTGCGTGATTTTCGTCGTGGAGAAGAGTTCTCACTCTGTCCACGTTTTCTAACAATATGGTTTGCATCTTTGTCCTATGAAACAGTGAAGAGAAGGCATCTGTTCTGTGAGATTCAGAGATCGTTGAAAAAAATAAATAAATATATATATATATATAATTTAATGAACAGTAATATTAATTAATTTAGAAAACTTTAAACTACAGAATTTAGTTGCACTATACATAAATAAGTACTAAACAGGATGAGGATGTAGCATCCATTCCCTGGCCTATAGATGATGCTAAATATGCATTTCATACTTTCAAATGAATGTTATTATACACCATTTCAATCATTTAAATGACTTAGTTGGTCATTAAAAGATAACATTGTACTAGCTATATGCATTGTAGTATTTTACAGTAGCCTACTTACATTAACCACATGCTTTTTCCAATTGTTTTGTGTGTGTTGAACAACAAACACTGAATGTGGCCCCTCAATGAAATGAGTGGAAGGAGAGTTTGAAGCCCTTGGAGAACCATACACCAAACAACCCAAAGACATTAAAGATTTTGGTTGCAACTGTAAAACAATTTCACCTTTATAAATAAACAAACCATCATTTGTACCATACTGAACTCAACATGACAACCATACGATGTAAATCCCTTTAATAAAATTCATGACACGCAGTTTGACAAAGAAAAAAAAAATCCAACAGAAAGCAAGTAGATAACATTTACAACCACAAAAAAACCTGTACAACTCTAAATGCTTGGAGTCATTTCTATATTTTTTTTCAGGATTCTTTCATTGATATCCATTTGTGACGATTGAAGAAAAACTTAAGAGGTTGACGCTAATGTGACAAAAGGGGCATTTGATTTTACGTGAATTCATATTTTTCCATGATTATACACAAGTTTAAAATGTCATACACAGATGTATGAGTCATCAACGTGGCTGCTGAAGTTTTTTTTTCTTTTTTGTTCTTCCCACTGCTGTATTGTACAGTCGGAGAATGATGTGGGCTATGGCCAGGAGTGTTATTTATACAATATGTCATAATGGCCAGGTCTGTACAGGAGGAAAATGCGTGGGTCGCCACCTTCAGGGAAGACATGGTGGTTGACCGTTCCACCCTCTCCTCTGTCCATGTACTCCACCAGGATCGATACATCCAAAGCCTGAGCTAAGGCGATGATGTGAATGTGGTCGCTTTCTTTAGACATTGGCTCAACTTCCTTTAAAAAAAATATATAAAAATTAGCATTGTCAGATAGTATATCTTGTAGTATTGTATTTATACGATATGCATAATTGTCCTATTCATGGAAATTTGTCCTGGACCTAAATGCCTTGAAATACATAATGACAGCAGACAACACATCCTCAGCCATAATATCACTGACAATTACATAACAGTATTGCACACATCTCATAAAAACACAATACCTATATTGTGGCTACAAAATTATTGCACAAATGTCAGCCTTAAGCTGCATTATTAAGGAACTTGTTGGAACAAATTAATTATTTTTTATATTTGCACCGTTTCTCAAAACATTTTGAATATATAGTCTTAAATTGTTAGCAGAGATGCACCAGTATTTGTTTTTACCAATACTGGTAAAAACAAATACTGGTGCAACACACAAACCAATTCCCGTTTGCTTTGTGTGATTTAGAATACCATTTTTGACAGCACATAAAAGTAAACTAATCATGAAACATATCCCAACTGCAGAATGAAATTGGGTTGCTGTGCCACCAACATAATGATGAATAGAACTTCGTTCTGCATTTGTGTGGTTTGAAGTTCTGAATAATACCTCACAGTGACTTGCACACAGTTAACCTTCCTGTTTCAAATTACAAATGTGTTTTTGAAACTTTCTTGGCTCACTGTAATGTTCTTCCAAGCTGACACTTTGGTGATGGGTTAAATGCACAGGTCACATTTCGTTGTGTGTGCATGGGTGTGCAGTGTCACAATGACAAATAATTCACTTCTTTCACATATTCCTCACCTGTTCTCTGACACAAAACAAATGCAAAAAATGAAATCCGGAAATATGCGTGCAGACTGAATGGTTGCTGGTCAGGGCTAAACAATGGCTGGTCGTTTAGTGCATCTCTAGAATATAGTTTATAAATGAATAGTTTGTAAAAGCACTACCTGCTGACAGAATTCTTTAACACAGCGTCCTCCCTCTATGAAGTGCTGAAAGAAGAAGTGCTGTCGCTGCAGGAAGCCTGAAGTGAGCAATCGCAGGTAGACGACCACGTAATCTGACACATTCTGGTCATTGAAGGAGTTTAGAAGCTCCTGGAGGCTCGGCTGCTTTTCACACAATTCAATCAGGTCCATGAACTGTTGGAAGAAACCTCATCAGACTCGAATATAAGACACCAAATTGATGCACAGCATCCCATACTCAGCTCAACACGTTAACATTCACATAGTGGATGTGTTTTACAGCTCAATTTCATAACATCATCATAATAATTTTCACGTATCACTTTAATATATTGAATGGAAATATGTTATAAAGCAGGTTTTAAACAAATAAAAACATTGTAAAAGCAACACAAAAACTGTAATAGCATTAAGATTAAATTTTAAAAACAAGCCAATATGTAGAAATTCAATAGAAAAATTAACAAATGAGTCAAAAAACAACTGATTTTTGTATTAGCTCATATGGATTTAATACATAGCATTTGGTTGTTTATAGTACAAGGAACTTACCGTATTGTGAAAGTCTTCAATAGTAAATTCAGTGAAGCCTTCATTAACCAAGTCCAATTTACTTTTTGACGCAACTGCTTTGAACCTCGAGAAAGAAAAAATAGACTTAGAAAAAAAAGTTTGCAGACAAACCTATTAAGGCCTGAAAGAATCCTAAAAGACCTAAAATCCAGCCAGGAACACACATGCACAGAGAGATGTTTGCAACTTTATGTTGAATATTTGAGCAACAGAGTAAATTTCAGAAACAACACATAAACAGCTGGTCAATTAATTGATATGTTAAAATAAATATATATATATATATATATATATACAGTATATGATTATGATTTTTTTATAATAAAAAACACATCTGTTCCCTGATCAAGTACAGGTGACAGAGGGGAGTTCAATATAGTACAGGGTTGAAGAAAGAGGAAAAAGTTGATTGTGCAGTGAATGAGAGACAAGAACAACAACACTCACTGTGCTAAACACACTGACTGAAGGAGGCAGTTGGCTCATGTCCATTGCTGTCTCAATATCGTCAGTGAACTTGTTTAATTACATGTGTACTACACACACTGACGATCTACTGTCTGTCTAATATATTTATGAATATTAATAACCCTGTTGAATATAACTTGTAAAACATTTGTGTAACATTGTATGAAGTGTCCACAACGAAACAGAGCCTCTTGAGGGTCGGTGTTTTTTTTTAAATAAAGGAAAGAGATTTATTTTATTTTATTTCATAAATTAGACTTTTGGTTTGCTCAATTTGTATTATACATTTTTATTTTGATTATGCACACTGACCTCTAGTAATAAAGGTCCCTGTGCTACATTTGGCATGTGGCTTAAACTTATAAGTAAGATAAGTATATAAGTTTGCCTCTGGAAAAACTAAATATCTTGCTTTGGGGGAAAATCCAATTATGCCACAGATAAAATATTGATAGTAGTAGAAGTATTGCTTTTCAGCTGAAGAATATAGAGATATGACTTTTAGTCTATATCGCCCTGCCCTAATACAGTACAAATTTCACCCCCTCAGAAACTCACTTTTGAAGTTCCTTGCTGTCATCTAGAAGGGATTCGAGATGTGCAAAACCAAAGGCTCTATAAAAGCAGTTCCCATCTGGTCGTGTCTTTCGAATGTACGAGTACTTTTTGTATAGGTCCTGCAACAAAACAGGCAGAACATAAATTACTGCAAGGTCTGAAAAAGTAAGTAAAATGATATCTTTGTGCTCGAGGAGGACACGATTCCACTGAACTGAGTTGTGCCATCCTGTTGGTGCAGTAATGCGAGAGAGCGGCGGGTGTTGTATGACTGACCTTGATCTTGAGCTGATAAACTATGTCGTCCTCAGCATACTCCCGCTGCAGCACTGACAGATCCTGTCTATCCGACACTAGAGGGTTACTGTTTGCTATCTGCAAAAACACATACCCAAAAAATACATCAGCTGATGATGCACTGTGTTCTTTGTGTCCTCACCATTGAACAGTTGTTCTGAAAGTCTGAAAGATGTTTACATGTTTCGAAATGAATGTTCATTGAGCTTGAGAAGTGACGTGATGGCACTTTTTGGCCATAAAAAAATAAAATTTTAGAGAATAGAAATTCTGTTGTCTGTGATTCAGTCATTTCAGTCAAAACAAGAAAATAAACACTAACTACTTTGTAACGCAAAGCCCATGTTAGTATCTTAGAATGTATTATAATAATAAAAGGAAATCTGTATGTGTACATTAGAACAAATGGTCATATTAAGTTTAGACATCAGATTTCTTTTTATTTAGAAACTCAGAAATTGCATCAACTTTTCTAGAAAAGGTTCTTGTACTTGTACCTGCATGGGCTTCACAACTGTCCATAGCAACCTGATCGCCCAAAACAATGTACAGTAAGGCTTTAGTTCAACTGGCAGGTAAAGACTGGAAATGACATGAATGCTTTAAAAAGACTTGATTTGACCTATATACATATATACATGTACATGTATATACATACATATATATATATATATATACTGGTCACTATGGCAAAGGTTTTCACAAAAAAAAGAAAAGAAAAATCTGAGAAAAAACAAAACATACTAAACCATTCCTCACCTCTTGTTGAATTCTGTCCTGTTGTGCGATTATAGCCTCATCATATGCAAGGCAGTTCACTCCTGGAACCAAATAACAACAAATATTATTGAGGAGACACAGCCATACTATGATGAATTACAAGAATTGGATTCATAAACTGTTATTTGCTTATTTGTTCAATTACCATCAGTAGTCAAATATATTACATACAGTGTCCCTTTCAAGTCTAAATATGGCCTAGCCCTTACTTAATTACACAGAGACCCATATTTAGTCAACAATGACTTTTTAAAAATTGCTTTGTAAAGGGTCTGTCTCAAGAAATAGTTGCACTGTTATTTTTAGAAGCCCCCTTATTGATACAACGGCACCAACATTCTGCTTCCATGTACAGTATGTCATGCCTAGTCAACTCAGAGTCTCACAGCAAGCGTGCGTTTGTTAAAACATCCACAACGTGTTCAACTATAATTTTCCAGTTTGACACGTGCTAGTTCAACTTAAGTTATTTGTTTTTAACTGTGCAAGCACGACTCTTGTGGGAACATCATGTACAGAAATTATGCAACTCTCACAGAAACGACTCTCTCTGAAACCGGGTTGTTGTCCACACAAGCATATAAGTAATACTTCGTTTAGACACAGAACGTGTTTGCTTATTATTGTAACGCTGCACTGGGCTATGAAAACTCCCTGTGTACTCCCTGATTTACAACTTGTCGCAATAAAGCAAATAATGGTTGCATTTAATCGAGAATTCGATTGGTTTTAATGTCAATGTTAAACATTAAACACGTGTCAGTAGTTAACATTTTAATTAATTTCCTTCACAGCAGCGGCCAACGACGCATATATGTAATGTTCAGTAGTTAACATTTTAATGAATTTCCTTCACAGCAGCGGCCAACGACATTCAACGACAAACTTGGTTCGCTCGAGCTGTGCGAAAACAAAACAAATTGTGTACACAGCGAATATCGTCGTTTCCATCACTAAACACGCGGTGTCCTGATATTTACATCGTGTCCACAGTTCCAGCATGGCCTTAGGTGAAACCCTCAGGGGCTGTCACTTTCAGTCTCTTTGTCAGAAGCCTAACAAGCATTTTTTCTCTTTGTGTAGCAGCTAACTGCCGTTAGCCCTGGCCTCTAGCTGTCCATCACAGCTGCATATGTGTCAGTCGTTATCACGAACAGGACAGTGGCTCCTGCACCGAGCAGACACAGTTGTGAACACGGGCTTTACTAACATAAGAGAAGGGCGAGTTATTCGTTGGACAATATCTGTTGGAAAGGTTTCCCTCACCCTCCACCTCTCCCTGTGATGCTCCTCCGCCATCTTAGTTGTCGACTTCTGCTTCCTCCTCCTGCTCGACCTCATTCATTACGCACATCCGGTGTGGGTTTTATTTTATTATATTTCATTTTATTGTTTACAATGTTCACAAGGCCAGATTTGTTTGACATATCGCAAAAAGTAAAACAAATAGGATTGGCTGCAACACCAATTAACGAATTAAAGACGTGAATATATAAACCAGTGAGCCCAAATAAGTGTTATTTAGTATAACAACTCTATTAAACGTTTATGTACCACCACAAAATTGCTTTTTGTTTTCTTTTGTTTTCTTTTGTTTTTTCTATAATAATACTCTATATGATTCGTTTGGGTTTTTTGTATGCCTTTTTCAATAGTTTAAATTATATAAGCTCAGTCTACAATGTAAGTATATCTTTTATGTACTTATTTATTTTTGTAATGCAGAGTGATAACGGGGTGTTTTTAACTCTTATTTTGTTTTGTTCAAAATAAATTCAATGATTTTAACGCAAATTTTGAAAACAATTTTTGGTTGGGAACATGTAAGTAAATAATATATAGTTGTGGTCTTCATTTATAGTTTATTTATTTATTTATTCCGCATTTAATCATTCTTTTAGTTTCTCACTAAAAATGTATTTGATTTATTATTTATCAGTGTATTTTCAATTGCTTTTCTCACTTCACTCTGAACATTTAAACATTTTTTAATTTAATGTTTTAAATACTACAGGAGACAACACACAGATAGATTATGCCCGGGTGTTAAAAGATTTCGAAGGTTTCACGGTTTATATATATCCATGACAAACGAGAAGAAAAATGCATCCTTATTTAGACACGGAGACACAAATTCCAGATGCTTATCAGCAAACAGGTTTGTCAGAATAGCAAATACTTTTATGTATGTGTTCCTAAAGCCCCGTGTAAATCTAGGTACATGGCCACATTTATACATGTATGGCCACATACATGTCTTTTTTTTTCACGAAAGAAGAATGCCACAGATACTGTATGTTGTTGCAGCTCGTTGACTCATTTAGTCCTCTGCACTAGCCAGTAGAACACGACAGGGGGCACTCTTTGCCACAAAACAGTCTCCAGTGAATATTATACATTTATTCATCTGCCAGCCTCACCTGTGGAACGCTACGAACATGGCACAATTTTGTGGCCCACCGTTTCTTTTTCTTTTTTTGCCATTTGTCTCACAGACAGCACTATTTACAGAGATCGACACAACTCATTTTCAAGACAAATAATACTTCATATTTGTTTAGAGAAATGCAAAACATATTTTATATCTTTCCTTTGGCACATTTGCATCCCATCCCAGAACTGTAACAGAACCCAATGATACAACCACAAAACACATAGACAAAATTAACTGTATTAAAAAAGAAAACAACAACAACAACAACAAAAAAACCAACACACAATGCTCTGTTTTGTAATACTAAAAACCTGAAAAGGTCAAATTTAACATGAAAGGCATATTCTTAGACTAAAAAAAATTCACAAATCATAGCTACAATACAGCAGAGATCTTTAAGAATAATCTGTGACGTCTAGCGGGGTGAAAAGGTACTGTGGAGGTTATGAAAATCTTTGGGCGTTAACATAAATTTTTGCAATTTTTCTTCAAACATAAAATTTATCCCCAATGTTATTTCCACAAATGTAAATATCTTAAAATGACTTAACCCCTACATGTTTTAAAATTAGATGTTTTGAATATTTTCATAGCCTAGACTTGTACACAAAATACATTTATATATGAGCGAAAATTGATAGCCTTATATTGAACTCAGAATATCAAGGCACATTTATATGGCACTAAGATTGATTTATTTAAAAATGAAAATCTATATAATATTTTGCTAAAGGGCCCTTCCTCACTGTCGCTTTTATTTTGAAAATCATTGAAGACGTGCTGTACAGTTTGTTCACTTATTTGCTCTCTCCGTTCACTTCAAGCAAATCTAGATTTTAAGCAAACAATCGTTTTTCAACATGCAGTTGTTTCAACATTAAAGAAGTTTGTATCACACATACTGTATGTACACATCATATATATATTTTGTACATGCACATAGTTAACAAAAAGCAGATACTGTTATAGTTTTTATCATAACGCAGCAGCAGAGAAAGTGTATGATGTGCTGTTTTTAACTTTATGTCAATCTATTACACTTCCTTGTCGCACAAAAGGAACAGCCATCCAACTTGTTTGAACATATTTGTAAAATAATTCATGAACAATGTAAACATATGAGAGATGTCTTGTTTTTAGTGTTTATCTTTATTTTTTATTTTTTTTAACCTTAGCGAATAAAGCTAAGTGACAAGGAGAGTGAGAAAACATGGCACAGCTATGCATGTTACAGGTGTGGCAGGAGCATGTGACCCAGTTTTTTTGGATCAGATACAAGCTATGTTGTGTAAGAGACGTTATCCGGCCCAGGTAGTGCATAGTACTGAAGAAACGCGTCCACTCTCAGCAGAGGTGTTGCAATGTTCTCGTCTGATTCGCCGACATTTCCTGGTTTTCCTCCTCCCATTGTCGTTGAGTGTTTTTGTCATACTGACTGGAGGGTATGTCAGCTGCATTCACTGTTTAGTCAGAACATAGTGAAACGCCTGTTGATCAGGAGCTCAAGTCACCTCTCTAAAGGGCTGGTCGGCAGCTCGATCCTTCGCTCCTCCGTTTAGTTTGGCAGTGAATGAAACGGGAACCCGCCAGACTGTGTGGCTCCAACGCTTTAACTTTAATATAAATCTCTATAGAAGCTATACATAGTCCAAGTCCATTTATAGTCTGTAGAAGCAGTCCATTTAGCAGAAAACACTGTGATTTTGGCTTGGTGTTGCAGGAGTGTAGGTAAATGTATATCATATGAATAATTATAGACTTACCAAAAGAGAGATGACTTTACATTTTCTCCAGTTGCTCCAAAAGTTATGGGCAAGATATTTGAGCAAAACGTTTCACAAAGCTTGGTTCAGTGGAAATCTGTTGGTCCAGAATTGGACCTCCTCAAGACTAACATCTGTTAGTTCTGTTGTTCTGTATGTGACTATCCAGTGGTTCACTACACAATCTGAGCCTTGTGAATAAGTGAGGCATGGGGACTCATTATGGTCGGGCTTGGCCTGGGCTTTGGTCTCAATGTGCCATTAACCTGCTGATACCGAGCACTGTGAGCCTCGGACACCTGCGAGCTGTTGGTTTCGCTGTCGTCTGGATGCTCCTGGCTAGCAGGCCCACCCAAACCTTCATCCACCTCATCCTCATCGTCTGTTACTGGAGGATAGTTGCAGCTCAGAGAAGGGTGCTGATGGTTTTTGGTGACACTCCCCGGCCTTGAACCGCCATCTATCGGCATGACAGCGTTGCCATTGAGCTGCCTGACGATCTCAGTGGACTGGACCATTGGGAAGGATGTGGGAGTGAGGGGAGGGTGGAATCGAGTTTCCTGCTGCAAAGACCCACAAAAAGAAGACACGCTGAGCAACATCATCCACTAAATATGCAGCCAGGTGAGATGCAATCCACAGTTTGGTAAAATCAGGCTCTGACATGCCCAAAAAAATAAATAAATACACTCGCTCTTACCAAAGACATTGTACTGTTCCTCACATATGTCTCCACTCGGATTCTGTTCTCCTCGTCTCTGTCCAGAGGCCTGTCCCTACCCCTGCGTGAGTTGTTGTTCAGGACTGGTCTGCCCATGTAGTCAAACGCTCCCCCTCCTCCACCTCTCCCACCCGAGAGAGTAGAGCGGCTGTCCCGGCAGTGTGCCAGATCCTGTTGGTGCAGCAGGGGAAACCATTAAGTGATATGACCTACTTTCTAAAATTAATTTAAAGTTTGTTTCCTCACAGAGCACAAAGTTATAAAGTTCTACCTTGATGATTTAGAACAGCAGAAATACCCAGTGGTTTGTTTGCTTGTCTAAGTATCCTGAACGTACCGGATATCGGCAGTCCTGTTAGCTCAGCATGATGACTAAAATCAACGAAACACCTTCAACTCAGTCCTCAGTATACAAGGATTCCATCTGTCCGTCTCCATCACAATTAGTCTAGAGTAATTTAGATTATCTCATTTGTCTCTCCAGTAACTGCCACAAACAAGCTGGGTATTGAACAAGCAACCTCCAATAAAACTAGTATGATTTAATTACAGAATTTGTTGGCAACCTGTCTTTTTCTGACCTACAGCTGAAGACAGAATTTGATAAAAATCAATGCATTAACAGCAGGCTGAACAGTAGTTTTACACATTAGCGGTCAGGCTTCATGTAAACAGCCCATGGGTGGAGGGGTAACAATGTGAGATCATATCAGCAG